TTTAGAATTCTGTTATAAAATTTAATTTCGAAATGGTTTTTTTTTCTTAATGTCAGGTGGATCCCACGTATCATAGGTTAGCCTGTTGTTTCGATGGAAAAGGTATAGTGTGGTTATAAAATCGACTTGACTCTTGGCACTCGTGTTTTTTTGTGAGTGAAATGAGAATGTTGCTGAGATTAGGTGTACCGATAACTAATTCGATCGAATTTTCAAAAATTTGATATCTTTGGATAGTTAAAACGAGAAGGTACTCTGTTTTTATTTGAAGAAGCGGTATCGCTGGTTCGAAACGTTTCATGGAGAATTAAATTGAAGTAATCCAGAATATAAAATTTAAAGGTCAATACCGAAAGTTTGAAAGCTTTTTTAAAGTGTAAAATGCAAATACCAAAGTACCAAGATACTAGTTTATAGAAGAATATTAGATTACTTATTGGAACACCTGCAGCAAATGCAGAGGAAAAAAAAATAATTTTAAAACTGCAAATGCCAGTTGAAATATGATATATATATATATATGGTTTGCCTGTTAGAAATTCGTTTTCTGCGTGGATTGTCTTGTTCAGGAGAGATTTTTCGACCACATAGTACCGTTCCCACTGAGATCAGGTGTCGCATAGGTGTAAATACAAAAATATCGAAGCGACCATGTTCGCGCTGGGGGTTTAGAAGCCGAGTTCCTCTGAAAAGAAAGAACAAGCGCAGGCCAAAAAGCAGGTTTCAGGCTCAGTCCAACGTGATCGCGAGAGTTCCTTCGCAGGCACAGCAACCGGAAACAAAAATCAGCTACAAAAACGCGGCGGGGGTGTCTCTCGCGATCGTCCGGAGATTGGTTGGGACTCGAGATCGGAATTCTCCTTGGATCGACGCGATCAGGAACGATCGCAGTCGCTTAAATGCTCTCCGTTCTCGGTGTGGGGTATGTGTGTGTTGCGAACGTGCTGATAATCATTAAACTGCGAACTGGCACGTGAACTTACGATGTTTACTTGAACCTACGAAAAATTTAGGGAAAATCCGGAAAAAATGCTAAAGTATATTTTCAAATGTAAATGTAGTCTACCTAGAAATCAAAAAGGATCTTGAGATCATAAATACTAACACACCTTGTTACCTCCATGTAAAATATTTGTGACAAATATTAGACGAATCGTTGAATCGTTTAACACGTTGTTTGCCACGTCACCGACAACCTGAGCTTCTTCATTACTCGGAAACGATTGCAAGAAGGAAATTGATATCGAATAAAAGTATATAGTAACGCAAGTAACTACATAACAGTACAACGTCACCAAATTATAATTTTTCCTAATAATCCTCGTGGCAATCGACGTGTCCCATGCTCTTCTTATCGTTAATTAGATCAAGCGAACCAAAGAAAAAATACGAGAAAAATGAAAAAAAGAATTTTCTACTCCTAAACTTTTAGAAGCTACGTTTAATTCCAAAAGCATCGAATTTCATTTTCAGTGAACGGACTGAGTCGTCTGATTTAAAATGAAGAATACTCGAAAATAGCCACTAATGGTAACGATAGCGACGATGATCCGCAGATTAATGATTATACTGAAGCCTTGCGGGACTGAAAGCGCATCGACATCGGTATTGGCATCGGCATCGTTCAGGCCTGGGTTGAAATGGAGACGAGCGCGTGGAACAAAGAACAAGTTGCTTAAGATTTGTCGCGAACCTTCTCTTTGACCGTTGTCGCTAGTATCGGCCAGTCGGCGATTAGCTCCTGCAAACTTGGCCTGCGCTGAATGTCGAAGACGTCCTGCATGCCCGGCACACACACACGTCCACGTTAGTGCCACTGTTATTATACGATCAGCGATATCGATTCGCGGACGGCCTCGATCATTCTTTTTCGCATTCGATTATATTGAATTGCAGCTTCGAATCAGTAATGCCAATCAGAAACCGATTGCTTGAATTGCACACCGATTTCAAACGTATCAATCATTCAACGATACGCGTTCATTATTCAACGGTACTTTTAACTAGTCTGTCAACAGACATCTTTGGAATTTATTACTTAAAATTACTTTCTAAGTTTTGACTTAATGTTTCGACTTTTTCTATGATGCTTTCGTCACTGTATCTGTGGCTGTAAAGCGGAACGTATGACTTATTTCGCTGAATTTTATATAATAGTTTTATATGAATTTATTTTTTTACAACCATATATAGTTTCGTGTAATAGAATTTTTAATATTTCTTTAATAACTTTTGATCAAAATCGTTGAGTTTAAATGATATTTATTAGTGTCATCACTTATTCTTGTAATTTGCAAGGAATGGTACTGTTCGCCACTTTTACCCTAGTGGTTTTCCCAAAGTAAGAATGTTTTCTGTACAGGTTTCAATGCTTTTAGAATATAACTAAATCTCGTAATTGTTAAATGTTTAATTCGCGCTGTTTCGAGTTAGAACCACGGATATGGGTTCCTATTATCAAATTGGAGAGCGATTTGTTGTATATCGAGGCCGTACGCGTCTAAAAAAAATTGAACATTTAGAGATAATGCTTGCTGCTAAACAGTCCGTGCGGGGTTATACACAACTTTACTGAACTTTTACTGCACAGCCGAGCTCTAATGCGTAGTCGCAACAAAGTTATTAATCGTCAGTTAATCATACTTGTCTCCCGAACGGCGGCTTTCGATTCGACACGGTCTCCTCTGTCCATGCATTGTTAACGCGACGTCACGCGACGTCGGTGACGAGATGACTCGAGCCGCGAGAAAAACAAATCGTTTCTTCGTTAATTTCTTGGTTAATGAACGTTCAGGTTAATGGAGATTAAACGACCACATGAACATGATATGTTTTACGCTTCATGATCGAGTGCGTTGAGAATACGGTTCGATGCGCAGCATTAGCTCTAAACTAACGTGTCTACTACATGTGACAATTATCTTTTCTTTTTCTGTTGTTCTTTTTTCTTTGTGTTTTACGTGTGCCTGGTTCTCAGTATCAGGCGAGAAGTGATATCTGTCACGTCGTCGATCGTTAGTTCTCCCTCGAGAGAGTCGGTACTGTGTACGTGTATGTATGTGTGTACGCTTGTGTATGATTAATTAAAACCTGTCTTTCTGCAACTTTTGTTATCGATTAACTTTGCTCTTGCTCTACGGGGGAGACTGCGACAAGTTGATGCGCTGTCAACGAACAAGTTAAGTCGGAAAGAATCGTGGGAAAAAGGTCGTTCCGAAAAATAAGAATTGAAGATTGAAGATTGAAAATTGAAAATTGAGAACTAAAAATCGAAAATATAAAATTGAAAATTGAAAATTGAAAATTGAAAAATGAAAAATGAAAAATGAAAATTGAAAATTGAAAATTGAAACATTTAGAGTTTAAGACGAACAATTCAAATTTCAGAATTGAAAATCTAAAAAAAGCAATTAAAATTCTGAAATGAAAGACTCAAAGTCTAAGACTCAGAATTCAAATGAACGTGTAAATCAAAATACGAATTAGAATCGATTATACCAAACTTCGCGTCAGACACTGACGAAACGCACCATCAACTTAACCCGATCACCCCTATCTAGCGACTACGAGTCTACGATGCGACGAAACTGAAAAGAAAACGAACAGAAATGAAAACTGAAAAATTGCAGAAAGCGCATGGGGAGGTGATCAGTAGCACGTCCCGGTAGTGAGTCTCGTCTCGTCGTGTGTCAGATCGGGAATAATCTACGGGGGGATGATGCCTGAAAACCTTGAGCCAGCTCCAGTTAGTTTCACCCTTCTTGTCAAGAGAAATTCGAAGGACCTCCTCACCCTCCTCCAAGATCACTATTTCCTCCCCGTCTTGATACCAGCTCCTTCCATGCAGCACGCTGTCTTGCAGCGACTACGAAGACAAACGTACAGAGAAGAAACAGGCCGAGAAAAATGGCTGGTGAGCTGTGTCCACCGAACGGGGAATCGAGTCCCGTCCGGTGTCCTTTATATTCGCTTTATTTTTTCTTCGCCGACTAGAACGTGCACGTGGCGGAACCACAACGATTCACCGTGTCCACGGATACTCTCGTGCACTTGGTTGAGCGTACTTACCGAGCAACGCGAATAACACGTGGCCGTGTTAAGTTTCTTTCTTTAGAGATCGATAGCGTCCACTTCGTGCTCAAGCGAAGACATTCTTTTACACCAACATTATGTAGTCGTAATGCGCAAATAGCATGTGTCGAGCTGTTACACGACGACGATCGCAAACTGTCGAAAATGAACGCGGCGGATCAAGGTGCAACAGCTTCACGATTAATCGACATGCGTGTTTCTCAATATGCTGTATGTAGAATGTTCTCTTTAAGGCCTCTCGGTAGAAATGTTCGTTAATGTCTGTACTCGAGGATCTTTATGGTTTCGTAAGCAATTCTGGAGAACGGTAAAATTTCTAAATTTTTCAGCAGTTCAGCGTGAAAATTTCGAAATTTCTTCAATCAGTATAATTATTATGAAAAGTGAAAATATTCGAATGTTTAGTACATTGATTCACTAAAACGTGATCATTTTCCTTAGAGCAGAGATTTGTGTAAAGTAAATGTTGAGAGCTGTTTAGAGATCTGAATCTACATAAAGATCCGCAGTCCAGTAATTTGATATTCGAATTAGTCGTTTCTTTGATTGACGGGGGAACGTTTAAACCTCGAACACGCACCTTCTCCACTTTCTTCAACGCTGGCATCGGCTTCTCGACTTCCTTCAGGTCTACCTTCTCCTGTTCTTGCTCTTCTCTCGCCCATTTCTGGTACTTCCTCTTCTTCAGCATAGCACGGAAGTCCATACCACTGGCGTCTACGGTTAGACGGGTTGAAGAAGTGAATATTCGATCGATTTGTTTCAAACGATTTATCGTGACACTTACCGGAAACGTAAAGTTGCATCTCGGCGGAGTCCTCGCCATGGATGTTGCTCACGACGATCTTGTAAGTGCCCTCGTCGTTGGGCTTCGTCTTCCTCATGCAGAGGGTGATCGTATTGGTCTCCGTGTCCGTAAGGAACTTGAATCGGCCACCTTCGATGATCTCGGTGATACCTTTGTAGAACTTGAAGGTGGGCGCGGGCGTACCTTCCACCCCGACCGTGAGATACGCCGTCGAGTCTGAACATTTTCATGGTTTTTATGATTAACTTCTTTTATTTTATTTCTTTTAACGTCAATTTTCACTTATTTTATTTGAGTATCTTTGTTCATTTCATCGTTGTACTGTGCGCACTGTTCAACACACTGAAATTATGGAACAGTTGGAATGGCTCGGTTGAAATTTCTTATGGAAATTATGAAATTGCAGTTTTGAAAACTGGAGATTAATTAGATTTGTGAGATTTAAAGACGAATCAATTACGTCTATGAGATTTAGAGACCAGGCAATTATATTTCTGAGATCTAGAAACTAGTCGATTACGTATCTGCGATTTACAAGCTAGTCAATTACATTTCTGAGATCTAAAGAATAATCATTCATGTCTTTGAAATCTGAAGACTGATCAATTATATTTCTGAGGTCCAAAGACTAATAAATAAAATTTTTAAGATCTAAACACTAATCAATTACATTCCCCACATCCAGAGACCAATAAATTAAATTTCTAAGGTTCAAACGCTAATCAAGTACATTTCCGAGATCCAAAACATCTTTCATTGCCAATTTTACTCGAATATAACAATTCATTACACTATCTCTGGCAAAAATCATCTTCATAATTCCTTCGTGCACTGTCAAACGATCCGAATCACAGATTACTCAGAAACTAACAGCTAAAAAAATACTACCGTACCTTCGACAGCGGAATATGATTCCTGCACATCGACGATTTGAGGTGCTCCCGCTGGTCCAACATCTCGAAGGGGTGTGCTCGGTTGATTGATCTTATTCTCGAGGTCCGCCACGCTGGGTCTTCTGACGTCCGTGCTCGGACGACGACGCTGCGTGAATCAATCACCGATGTATCAACAAACAAACTTCACTCGAAGAATCATCGACAAGATTTGGTTTTTTGTAATTAAGCAGTTTTAAGCGTTCGGAATAGAAGCGAGCAAGCATGAACAACGGCCACACGACTTTCGTCCACTTACCTTTCGGAGAGAAATTTTCTTCAAATTATTTTCACAACGAACATTTTTAAAACGAAAGTCATGGCCGCCGTTTCAAGTGTGCGTACATGTATATATATACACACGTTGCTCACGTGCTGTGTTCGCTGTGCGATCGGTTAAACGCGCGTTAATCACACCGTTAATCCACAACGTTAGTTACGAAGCGTCTCATCACACTCTAATAACGAGTTAGCCACGAAACTTGGTGAACGGAAGCGTTGTCGTTAGGCGAGGCCAGCTGATAGTGTCTTTCTTGGCGTGCCTCCGTTAGCGAGACATGAGATCGACTCGCGGTCAAAACGCGCTGTCGATCGCGTTCGGAGTCCGCGGGTTTCTTTGTGGATTTTACCGCGAGTTCAAGGGCCATTGGAAATTGTACGGTTTCGTTTGAAAGAGAAGTTGATGATCGTTATAATCGTTGAAGTCCTGTCTAGTAGGGACTTTTATAAATAATAATATTTTTATTATCACAGATTATTATCACAGATTAATCATAAATCATTTTTTCTATTAACGTTGCTTTATTCGTGACGTAGTAAGAATAATAGTTTTCTAAGGAAAGCTTAGTAGAAATTGTAGTGCAATAGTTGTTGTAACACATGATAATGGTAATTGTTAAATAGTACTTATTATTTAGTAATTACCATTATTATTACTATTAATCATTACTACTAATAATTAGTGCTACCATTGCTACTAATCATTGCCATTATTGTTGCTATTAATAATTACTACGAATATTACCGGTAATAGTTACTATTAACTATTGAACATCAATAATCCATAATTCCGAAGAAGATACGAGATCACAGGCCCTCGAATTCGCGTTGCCAAAGGGAAAGGTCAACGTATACAGAATTCGAATCACTTCCGGGTTTCGTCTCGTTTTCACGCTTGAAGCACGAGCGAAATCCTCGGTTGGTCAAGGTGATACATAAATAAGATAGATAGAAAGGGGTAGGTACATAGGGGGTACATATAAACAGTAGGTAATACTCGAGTTACGTGGAGAGAGGATGTTCTGCCTCGTAGATGCCGAATCGTCGGTGAATTCGGCGCGCTGTTCTCGGCAGCTGATCAGTCACAAGATTAAACCTAGTGCTACGAGATTAAGTGTTTACATAGGATCGAATAACGCGATGGTGAATCTTGCGCCAGTAAGACGTCGTTGACGTTCACTGTTCGCTGTGTCGATCGATGGATTATTCGATCTGGTTACGCGTATATAATTATCATCGAATGTAACACATTGTCTACCGGCAATTATCAAAGAGTATATTAAAAATAAATAATCAATTTGGAAGGATCTGTTAATCGATATTTCGATAGCGATACAAACGACGATTTTGAATAAATGAATCTCAAGTAAGATGATTGACTAATTTTTTAATTCTGCATTATTTTTCAATATTTATGTTGCATTTAGGAATAGCTTAATAATTTTCCTGTAAATGAAAAGAAATAGTTATGTCATGCTATTTGAAAAAGATTTGCCGATTCACGATTGTAATTGTGATTGTTATCGAAAGATCTATTAGGAAATCCTTAAGCGTTGATTATTGATTTTTAGAGATAATTGGATAATCGTCGATAGATGGAACGTTGACAGCAAAATTCGGTTTTGTTTCTTATAATATTGTTACAGAGAGTTTCGTATGCTTGAAAACGATAACGCAGCGAAATCGGTGGATCATTGTACACCATCGATCGGCACGGAATTACAATTAGAGTATTACAGTAATTACGGTGCGTGTGCAAATAAAAAATAAGCCGATTCCGTTGGTCCACCACAGTGTGCTCGTTAACCACAAAAGCAACCAAACGTGACGTTCGTCCGCGAATCTTTTATTTGCATCGCTTCTCTGTTCAACAGATCGTCGATGTGGAAGACGTGACGGTTCCCGGAACTCCTCGATTTCTCGTCACGCCGTCCCCGCTGTTAGATACAGTTTGTTAAAGAACAAGTTCCTTCGCGTGTCGGTTTAGATACAATTTGTGAGAACAATCAATGGTTGGTGAGGAGAACATAGACTATATTGAAATGGAAGAATAGGGTTCAGAGGGTGAAAAAAAAGAGAGACACACAGTTGACAATTTCGAAGAACGATTTCGGGGGAAATGGAAGAGTGAGTGAGGCTTAGAATAACGATGGTCTAATCTATGTTTCTGAGTTTTTGAGAAAAAATAGTGCTTGTGAAACGTCGTTTGATTAATTAGAAATATTACAATGTTATTAGTGACATTAATTATTGCATACTAATATTAATAATTAATAACAATTAATATCAATAGAAATGTAGTATTAGCATTTGATTAATTCAATTATCAATAATGAATTTTATTGTAACAGTGTTTTAGTGCAATTACTAATATTAATAATTAATGATATTTAATATCACCAATAAGATTGTAATATTGGCATTTAATTGAACATTTTATAAACACTTTTTTCTCGGAAATTCGGAAATATTAGTTACTCCACTATAATTCTAATTCACTCGAACGAAAATGGGAATCGTGGATGAATGACGATTAAGTGTTAACTGTCGACATGACTTCGTCACCTTTCCGTTTTCTCGGTCGTCGTGGCACGATCACCGCGACGGGTTTCTACAAACTACGGACAACATGTATCTGATTAGGATTATTCACAAAAACAACGGCGACATCCGAATGAAAGAAAAATAAAACAAAACCTTTCCGCGAATGTTCATACAAGGTCGTCTATGGATTTCATATCGCGAACATACAGATGATGAGCACGATTGATCTATTTACAAATGATTAAAAACTATCACATGAAGAACTATCCTCGCTAACATATCGAGCATACATGACATCGGTTTTAATCGACAAGAGCGTTGGACGCCGAACGTGTCGCAGTAGTGTTCCTCGTTTTTTAAATAAAATTCCTCAAATTAATTCTGGTGTCAGTGCTTTTAGTATACGAGAAATGCGATTTTAAAGAATGAGTTAAATAGTATGTTAAAATTATTGGACTTCTGAACAGCTTTCAATGTACAGAAAGTAAATAGCAATAATAATTATAATGGTAATATGCTACAGGACAAAAATTTTGAATAAAATATAATTTTAAATAATAGTTTGAATTTCAAGAAAGTACTTAGTGATTTAATATTAGTTTAATATCTATTATCGTTGGTAACAGTAACTCAATTGACAAGTTGTAATGGTAATAAATAATATAATGCAAAATACGATAAAATACAATTCGGTATTTTAGAGGAGTATAAATATCAATGGAATGTCTGAGTTGCCTGACCAAAACGAACCTATACCACTGCGATCCGTCGACGCCGAACTGTCACATACTACTTTCTACACGAATGGTGGTAAATACACATAAGTAAGTCGATACACAAAAGAAAGTTACAAAAAGAAAACAGAAACAAATACATATCGCTACAGATCGATGCACTACTTGATAAATCCAACGTACAGTTAAACAAATCATCTTACCACCATGTCTAATCTCTACTCGTCGAATACGCGCAGTATTCGCTCGAATCAAGCAAACGTTGAAACACTGGCAGCAGGTCGTTTAGACTGCGAACACTTTCCGAGTATGATCGTGAGCTTGGCCCAGCAAAAAATCGCTGTTCTCATAACGCAAACGTATAAACAAACGAACGGGAACGAGATACTACTTTCCTCGAATTTTTGCGATCCTTGGCTGACCTTGAATTCGGCATTGTTTCTTTTCTTTTCTTTTTTTAGGATATACGATTCACGATTGTTCGTGTTTCCAAGGATTTTGTTATTCCAATAAAGATCTGTTGTTATTTTTCAACCTTTTCAAAGTTTTGTCGAGTGTAGTGAAATCTCTTCGCTTAGCAACCGAGAAACAGTCAACCTTTTGCGGACGAGAATTTTGTAGACATCCAAAAATATTTTCCGTAAAACATTGAAGTATACATAGTAGTAAAAGTTCTATAAATCATGGAATATTGGAAATATTTAAAATATTAGAAAAATTAGAAAATAAGTAAACCGCGTATCAATTATTAGTTAGTTAAATAACTAAATTATTTGTTTGTAACATTCCATTTTTAACATTCAAATGACTCGGGTCCGCCAGGAAAGGGTTAATCTTGCCATGATAAAATCAAAATGTTCTAATATCGTTTAGAACGATCCGATTTCATTAGGCCAAGCACTCGAACGCGCGGATTCGCGTCGACAGTGACCTGCCAGCCTTTCGCAGAGTATGTACAAACGCATTGCGAACAATTCCGAGCTTGTTTGGCCACGCATTTAAAAAAAGAAACAAAATCCGTGTAAAGTTACGCGCGTAACAAATCGGCATACACGAACGGCGAGAAAGAATAGTGTGTGCGTATTTGTTTCGCTAACCTCTTTCCCCTGCAGTTCGCCAGGACGGCCAGACTTACTCTGTACGTGGCGCGTGGAGAAGATGAAAAAGAAAAGAAGAAATAATAAAGGGGGAGAACAGTGAAAATATTCACGGGTGGGCGTGTTTCGTCAACGGGGGGCGGGCGGGGGTGGTTTCTGGGGAGGAATTTTCAAAAATATGCGCGATTGTCAGTGTGGTCTCTGGAATACGCGGCTTCGACTCCTTGTTTTACTAATACTATTTCTGATAATATGCTTTTGATAAAATAGTTTTGATGATATAATTTAGATAATATAGTTGTGATAATATAATTTCTAATAATTTTATAATAAAAAGCTAGAATGAAGTTCAAAATTCCAAACATTAACAAATGCAACCTTCAAAAATGAAGATGATCGTTACCACTTCTCGAATACCCTCTTTCAGTTATAATTAATTCTTTACGTACTCAGTTTAACTAAATCTTTATATCTGTAATTTCGTAGAGTTAGTCTCTGTAATAAACTCCAGAGTATTCGTCAAATCCATTTCAAAATCATTACCTCCATTCACTAAACATCGTAACACAAGGGTTCGATTCCGCGTCGATAGAGATCGATAGCGGGGTAGTGGACACAGTAGCGGTAGCCCCAAAAAATCAATAGAAAATAATAAGTCGGCGATCCATATTTTGTTGGTATGCGGCGGCTTCTTTGGAGGCCCGCGATCTGCGGGCGCGGAAACACTGATTTTTAGTTTTTCTCTCTGGTTAACACGTTGTGCAATTCCACGGGACACTCTCAGGTCCCTCGCAAAAAGTGCGGTGACGCTTTCGCTTGGATTTGAAGCCCGTGATGAAGAGATACAAAAAAAGATCAGTGACAGTTGAGAATAGTAGTACGGTGAGACACATAGGTCCAAAAAAATGAATGGTTTTGATGGCGTTGGCGATATATTGGCGATATAAAGGAGTTTTGGGGGGAGGGTGAGAAACATAGAAAGAAACATGGTCGCAGGTGATGATGAATAATCGGGCGGGTAAGCTTTGTGTTATAGCGAACACAAATCTCACCTTGGCGTCTAACACCTCGCCGGGCCGTAACCTTCCCAACTGCAAAAAATTAGACAGGCGAGCGTCAGATTTTTCTGTGAGAACTTCCGGTTCGCCGCGCGAACTCTTCCTCCGTGTTTCTTTTTTTTCGGGGCGAGAGATCGGGGATCAGATTTCGGATAAGAGATAGAGGAGATGAGGACAACTGGATTGAGCTATTGCTACACAAAACCTATTAACCGACGACGCTCCCAAAGCGAACGTCAAAAAGTTGTCTTTCCGTGAAGTACGATTGAGGAAGGGTGGCTCAACCCCTTAACGTCCCGAATCTGTTCTAATCGTATTTTATTAGACAGGGGAACTTTATGTTAATGAATCTTATTATTCGACTGCGTTTTTGTACCATCGCAGTGTAAATCTATGTAATCTGATTTCTGAGACTCTACATATTCGAGAAAATAAGAAGGAAAGTTCTTCAGATGTGAGATTAGTGTAGAAACGATAATGATTAGAAGCTAGAACATTCGATCTCCTAAGAAAGTGTCATTCGCTTGGAAAATTCGTTACACTTCCAAAAAATATTCATTAAAAAATTGGATAAGGTAAACGCGTATCCAGCAAAACCTAGAAAATTACAAACAAATGCAGTACTGTCGCAAAAAAAAAATTCTGTTCCAGTTAATGCTGAATTTTTCGAGCGAACATTTTAATTATTTCGTAGGCGACCGAGTCTTATCGTTTCAGAACCAATTTGCACGATCCAGAGAATTTTCTTTGCTGGGTTTCGTTAAAGGGTCGAACAGAGGTGATAGTTAAAAAACGGCACTGGGTTCAGGAGGACGTTGTCACGTGAACCGTGACATCTGGGAAGACGATCACAAGGTTGTCAGATGTATTCGGGTCTCGCCTTACCGGGCTCGGCGGTGCAATTGCATTGTTGGCGGTGCAATAGTCGACGCAGTGGTAATTTGTCTGGTGTGCGCGTCAGCCGGTACAAGTGCAATTAAAAAGTCAGCGGGTGCGCGAGATAGTTTAGCGAATGGCTGATTGCCGCGCGTTCACTTTCAGTACTTTATACCCTCGCAATCTAAAAAGACGCTGCGAGAAATGTCGACCGAATTCCTCGATCCTCGATCTCCATAATTTACGCTCATCTCATAGAGACACGAGTGTCGAGCGAAATTTAAACCTGATTATTATGGTAACCGTCACCGAAATCGATATCCCAAATAACTCACGAAGTCTTGACAGATTTTATTTCACGCAAGACTTCTTATTTTATATTCATATTTTATATAAAATTCGGCAAGGTAAGATTTGCCGCCTTTAGAATATTCTATATGACAGAATCAACATATTCATCACAAATTCGTGCAAATACTGTGCACCAGAAAAGCGAAAGGTTGTTTTATTATTAGCGAATGATATGGGTCACAATGGTTTTCCGATTTATCGGTTAACAGCCCAAAGAAATTCCAGTGCAACTCGGCTCCCTTTAAATCAATCCATAACGATTTACTCTCGCGCAAAGATCTACAGTTTGCTAATCAGGTTACATTTCGCCCGATAAATTTCGGAGAGGCCTGAGAATTAGAAACGTCTCAACGAAGGCACGTTTCGCATGCGGGGATCGGGAGTATCCGAGGAAAGTCGGTCGAGGAATCCAATCCGTGACGTGTCTGCGTGCTAGTAACGAGCTCGAGGAAACGAGAAAATGCGCTCTCGGCCAGAAATACCGAATATCTGCGGAATCGGAGAGACAGGGAGAGAAAGAGGGTGGTCCATTGGACCGCGGGCGCTTTTGATTAATCGACGGCAGGGGATTCAGTGCACGGTACTATAATTTAGAGTCAACCTTCGTGTCCGGCAAATTGATAGTCCGATCTGAGCGTTGGCTGTGTGTAACAAGTTTTCGGACCGAGTGAAACGCATTCTTACTGCGTACACCGGCGACTGACGCGTTACATCTTTCTAAAGGTTCTTACACACGATGAGATTTGTTTTGGGACATGTATGATGGGTTTGAGTCTTTTCCACTGTTTTCATGATACCTTATGTTACGATTTTCATTACTGTCAGCAAGAAAATTGTAGCTAATTTTTTGAATCTTCGTAGTGACACATGTGGTGTTGTAGAAATAAGTCTTGAGGCTTGAATTTTGAAAGCTGTGATTGTAACTGGAGTCTTGGAAGCTTGAGGTCACAGCGTTGAAGCTTACAGTTGTAGAAGGTGAAGTTTCCAACGCTGGATTCTTTGAATATGATCATATCGAGCTTTCAGAGTTTCAAGGTTGACGTTCCAAAGATTGAAGCTTCGAAGATTCAAACTTTATAGAACACAAAGCTCTCAAGACTCAGCATTTAAGGTTGAGCTTAGAAACTTCGAGAAATCAAGCTTTATATTTAAGGTTGAGCCTTGAGGCTTCGAAGACTCGAGTTTTATTAAACCCTAAGTCTCTCATGCTCCGCATTTAAGGTTGACCCTTAAAACTTCGAGTACTTAAACTTTATAGAACCCTAAACTTTTAAGGTTGACCTAAAGGTCAACTTTAAAAAGCGCCGAGAACTCGAATTTCTCACAACACTATATGTAAGCACCATTACAAGCGGTGGGTTTTTAATCGTTTTTCACTTTTTGTATGATATGTTCGTATGGTACAAAAAGTGAAGAAGACTCAAACCCATTGCTTGTCCCAGGACATGACCCAAAACAAGTCTCATCGTGAATAGAGGCCTTTATCGTCCGGTGGCAGCGGGTCGCGTACTCACGTACCGTGGATGTTTGCCGGCTGTCTAGGCATTTGTTAACGGCGATGGCTGTCCTTTCGACAATGCTTGCCAAAATATAATCTACGAGCCCGCGATCCATGCCAGAGGGAATTCGAAACCTTGTATACTAATGATTTAGGGACGCTCGATGTTCTGCCCGTCTCCGCGGGAGCCAGACACGCCTCGGATTATCTTCGTTCACTCCCACATACAGTTGTTCACGAAAGTATCCGTATATGTGCGTCATTTATTTTCCCGAATCCTGTAATATTCTGTCATTTAAGCGTACATCACTCTTTCATTCAATATAGTTCGATTTGAAATACGTGGATCGAGGTTTATGACTAGATTGCGGATCTTCATGCAAATTCACAATTTTCAGGATAAAATTGCAAAGATAAAATTATTATACAAAGTAGTTTTTCCTATTAAATATTATAAAAACTGAATATTTTATATATTTTTCATAACGTATACATTTTGTACAATTTTGCACTTTCCGGTTTCCTGTAATTGCATAAATATACGCAGTCTATTTATAATTGAACTGTATATAAGTTTTTAATCGAATTCATTTGACTTTGAAGTATAGAAATGAAGGTTCACGATGTTATAAATTATACTTAGTTTTAATTTTGATATTCGTTAAACGTATAAAATGTATTGTAGGATGCTTTTGTGAATAACTGTACGTACACGTTTTTATTCGACGTTCCTCCGTTGCATATATTACAAAGTTCCTTTTGTTATAATATCGCCGCCGCGGCTGTCGATATTAATATATCAAGAGATCAAGTGGATCGTGTTGTTGGTGTCAATAATTTGAGTAGACAGTGCGCATAGACTCGGGGTTGCAGCAGATCCGTGCCAAGTGCAGTTGGTGCGTTGGTGCAATGGTGCAGTGGTGCATTCTCTTACGTCAAGAATTATTATATTATAGTTGATGGGGCGCGAGCCGAGGTTCTCTACATTAGTATCTCGTAAACTCAAATTTCAATTTATTTTCTCAAATTTCGAATTTTTTCAGTACAAAAAAAACAATAAATTTAACTCTTTCACTAGTGAAGAATTGATCTTCGATACGAATTCAGATTTCTCAATATTCCAAATTTAAAGTTTGTATTTTCACCCGATTTTCAATTAAAGATTGAATTCCCAATGAAATTTCAAGTTAAGCTTTAATTTCCAATTAACTTACGGTTAAAGCTCGAATATTCCATCAAATTTCGTTTGCGGAAACGCTTCTAAATGATCTCAAATTATCAATAAATCAAATGAGGTGTCACAAACTGCTTTCTCTAAAATTAGACCAGTTATCGACTTATTTCATTCGAATTAAATAGGGCACCGAAGACAATCGTTTATTATAGGGTGCAATAAATTCCCCTTGGACGGCCGCTGAAAAATTTGTTGCATGCCAAACGATCACCCTTCATGTCACTTAATTCACGTGAAATCAAGTCGATATCTGCTCTGGTTTCTAGAGAAACCACTTCGCACATTTTATTCGGCTCACCCTATAGAATATCCCCGTGGACTACATTCTTTGTGTTATGCATCGTCTTCTTCTACACTATCTATTCGTGAATTATTGATAATTATTTTGATTTTCTTTTTATTTCACTTATTTTATCTGTTCATTAATTATAAATAAACGACGAAATAATACAAAACAGAGTCATTTTTAAAATAGGAAAATGTAAAGTTTGGAATGTCTCCTCCCGGCTCGTGGAATTTAATAAAGCGGATATTCTCATTTAGAACATTTTAAGAGCTCTATTCAGAGCCGAGATTCAAAGCGTGATTCACGCACTATTTTACCTTACGATCACAGATATAAAGTTAGTGCACCCGATATCACTATTCGGAATACCGCGCGACGACAATAGCAAGATTTGTAGGCAAATTTGAACCGAGACCCACGCGAGTTCTAAGAAAACGTATTATAAATTCAGCGTTACACGACCATAGACCATCGGAGTGAATCTTCTTACTGCGAAAATTTATCGAGCGGTGACAATGTAAATTCACATAAATAATATTGGTGGATGTATAAATATTTACCGAGTACTGAGATATCTAATGATATGCAGGGAAATTATTTAACAGCTCGCAAATATTGGATTCGATCGGTATTCTTTGAAACCGTAGTTTTACGTGTCTTTTCGCAATTGCGATTAAAAATTTCGACAAACAATACCTACTACGTGTCCCTATTTAATTTAATTTATTTTATTCCATATCAACTTTTAGTTTATCTTGCTTCTTAATTTATTTTGTCCTATATCGGCGAAAGGGTTGATTGTAGGGAACCTCCGCTCGCGAAATAACGATCTCCGGTCCAGATCGACAACCGACCTGAACAACGTGAGGTCGTCGGACACGGGAGTCCAGTGAGTAGATTGATAAATGAGTGGCGAGCAGGCAGGATTGAACGAAGAGACGATTTCTCATCCGAGAAACCGAAATATTTAGCGTCTGCAAAGGTTCTCACCGATTCAAAGGCAATAGATCGAACAAAAGTGTACTTTACATTAATCAATCACATAATTTCCACTGTTACGTTATTACATTAATTGAACATTATGAATTTAAAAACGATAAATTAAACATTGTTAACTGAAAAACTATAATTTCCCTTACTTTAGTAACTCGAAAAATCCATTATTCAAATCGGCAAGAATTTTTGCACACACCTGTCAAACATCATCGTGCGGGTTGCGGTTGTTCTCTTCGTTCAACGTTCCGGTGAGTGTTTTGTGCGAGAGAAATAACGTGTAAGTAAAAGTGAAGAGGAACAATAAGAGAAGAG